ACTGACTCGCGCCCCTGTCGTGTGCTTCTGCGTGTCCGCTTCCTGCTGCGTCTCGTCCGGTTCTTCGGTTGAGAGACAGCCGCCGGCAGTGTTAGGTGGCGTGCTGAAAGTCGCGGTGAGTAGGGAAGCGGAGAATAGAGCCAGTGTGTCGTACCCCTAGCCTGCACGTGGGATCCCTGGGCTTAGCCTGGCTGATTCTGGTGCTCTCTTCACTGAGTCACTCCTTCCTCTGACCAACACTTTAAGGTGCATGGGTTACAAGAGAGAAGATAGAATCGCTACTCTCGAGGAACTTGTCTCAGTAAATCTAGGGAGGAATATGAAAAGGAAATGAAAACCGAGGAAAGAAGGAGCGGCTCCACATAGGCTGTTCCAGGGAGGCCTCTCCAGGGCGGCATTCGGCAGATCTGAACCCAGGCGGCGGGAAGAGCTGGAAGATCAGTAAGGGAGAGGGCGACGATGTTGGGCGTGAAGTTGGAAAAGTAGGCAGTAGCCAGGTCGCACAAGGCTTTGTAGTATGGGTTCTGACTGCATTGGGGTGCTGTTGAAGGATTCCATTTACCTGATTCAAAATACAATCTGTAAACCCTGGAGGGTATGAACTCCAGTGTGAGATGGAGTTTTTTATTGCACTAAGATAAAGTCTGATTTATTTCCCACTAGTACTAATACCTGGAGTCTACTTGAAAGAATTGATGTTTCCCCCTGTACTGACGCTCTTAGTTTTATTTTGAAGAGAAATCACAAAAGACTACACAGCAAGAAGAAAGTACAACTTCGTGGGAAGTCTGCTAGGAGGAGTGAAGCCAAACTTCCTGACTTCAATTCTATTAGGCGTCGCCCTGACAGGTTTAATTTACTCTCATCCCCTATATGCTAGAGGTTCCTAAACCTGACTTTCTAAGCCATACCTTTACTACTTTCAGCTTAGATAATGCCCTCCTCACCTGGCATCTCCACCTGGATGTCCTCAGACTCCATGCCCAAAATGACTCATTTTCTTCCCCCCACAACCTCGTGTCCTGGTGCTGCTCTGCTGCCTGTGCTCATTCATTTGGGCGCTAGGTCCCATCACCCCGCAGACTCTAGCTGGACACATGATGTTGTCCTGGACTCCTCCTCCTCATCCTCTCCCCCAGCCCTGCATCCAGTATCCTTTGGTTCTACCTGTTTCTTTCCCTGAGTTACTCTGCCCTCACCGGAGGCACCCTTCATCTGCTCTAGATTTCTGTACCTGCTTACTTCCTAACTGATCTCAGCTCCCTTTGTGCCCCCTTGAACCTGTGCTCCATGAATAAGTCTGGGCTCATCTTCTTGAAGCAGTTCCATCAGGTCACCGTCTTCCTGGAATTCCAGGTCTGTAGATCGTGATCTGTCCCCCCTGCCTTTCTCTCTCCATCTCAGCCCCGGTATGACAGCTCCACACTGGTTCCTGCTGTACAGTGCGCCAGCTCTCACCTCTCTGCCTTCACTCCCCCTGTTTACTGAGAAGATTCCCAGCTGGATCCAATCCCAGTATTCACTTCAGCATCACTTGCTCCCAAATGCCTTCCCTCCTGTCTCACCCCATTCCTCTAGGATTCTGAAATACCCAGTGTGTCTCTGTTGTGGCCCTTAGCTACACTGCTTCTTAGTTATCAGCTAATGTATCGTTCTTCACCCAAAACAATGTAAGCTTCCATCTGCTCTCTTAGCTGGAAACGGGAGCACATCCAGACGGACGAGGCCAGCCTGTGTACGCCGAGAAAGAAAAACATCAGACGCACTACGCACGGGGCTCAGCCGGCCAGACAGAGCCTGCTGTGCGGGGCCCTTGGGGGAAGAGGCGCAGGGCGTCAAGTGCTGAGGGGCACAGGGGCAGGAGGCCCATGGGGTTGCACCAGGGCCCAGGGTGCTGGCTGCTTCACGCCACCACATCTAAGCCACTTGTCTTGTACATCTTGTTCCCCATCACGTCCACCTTGCAGGGAGTGCAGGGGCGTTCAGAAAAGCAAGTGTAGAGTGTCATGGACGGCGCTGATGGCTACCACAGACAGGACTTCTACCCCGCCGTGCTCGTCAGAACAGAAACACAGATTGGGGAGTAACTTGCCTGACCGTGGCATCTCATTAACAGGCTCAGATGTCTGTGTGACTTGTCTCAGGCACAGTAAAGGCAGGCTGAAATTGTACTCACTATCCGATAGCAATGTAGATAGTGTTGTGATTTTAAAAGCAAGTTGAAAACTTTGTAGAACTAAAAACAACTAAATGTTGCTCTGCTGCTTTGAGTGTTTGTGTTGATCCTTCACCTTTGTAGAATAAAACCGTGGTTTTACTCGGAAGGGCCCACTTGTCCCTGTTCATTCACTCGTGTGCTGAGCACACACGCAGAGCACCTACTATGTGCTGGGATTTTGCACACCACTCGGGATTGGGAACAGAGCAGTGAGCAAAACAGACGAAAATCTCTGCCTGTTTTGTCCATTCTGCAACCTTAAACATTTAACATCTGCTAAAATTGGGGTAAATTTTTAAATCATCCTTGTGACTTTCGTTTGCACTCTTGCTTTCTTCTGGTGGCACGTGAAATAAGCAGTCACATAGCTGATGGTGTCGTAGATTCAATGACGCGAGGGAGGAAGTGAGTTTCTTCATACGGACAGGGTTTGGGGTCTCGACCCAGTAGTTGGAATAACTGGGAGCTGTGGCCGTTTCGTCACAGGTGTGGGTTTGGGTCTAACATTTTACGTCCCACCTAAAACGGCTCCTGGGCTGTTTTGTGATGAGAGAGGCTATTGGACTTTCTCATCTCATGGTTTGTTAGTATTTACTGTTTCCACGTCTCACCTTCATGGTAACCTCATTCGTTTTGAAATAACTGAATCTATATTGCTGTAGAAACTTGGTCGTGTTGAGTTTAAGAAACTCAACCTCAAGAGGAAAAGATAAAAGGCAGTCATGGAACAGGACTGCCTCGGCTCTAGAGGTCTTCACCTTCAGGGTTCGGAAAGAAACCAGAAAATGTTAGTTTTCTAACATTTCTAAAGCATTTCTCTGCTTTGCTTTAGACGCTTCAAAGATGGGTACCTAGATTTTACCAGCTAAATTCGTGGGTGAAAACAAGTGGTTTTTATACATATATTGAAAATAGCTGTTTTTAAAGAGAAAAGAGCTTCCCTGAGCTTGGGGAGGGAACAGGAGGTGATCACACGATAGCCGCCAGCTGAGCAGCGCTTTGCGCTTATAAAGCGCGTCTCACCCCTGCTCTTACTTTGGACCTTAACTGTGGACCCTGCGTGCGTCACAGGTGAGGAGACTGAGGCTCAAGGGGTAGTTGGCGGACCTCTAGTAGTGCACAGCTGGTGACAGCAGACTGGGGCCTAACCAGCACTTTGTTTCCACTCTGCTTTTTTGTTTCGCGTAGGGTGAAACCATCAGAAAGTATTTCCGTGTCCAGCTCCCTTCTGGCCCGCTGTCCAGGATCTGCTCTCACCCTGTTACTTTGTCCAAATCGACTTGTTTTCTCTTGCAAAGGCCCCTGCAGCGCGTCACACCGTGCCCTTGCCCGTGACAGGCGTGGGTTCTCGTGAGGCACCTGGGTAGCTAACGTTATCGCTTGACGTGCTGCTGCACTTAGAGGAACATCTGGAGATGAATATTCACTGTGCTCTTTTTAAGTGAAAAGGTCAGAATACAGAATATGTCAGAATGCAGTATACTGAGGCTGTGCACACACCGCTGCGCGTTTCTGTGTCACGTGTGAGTGTTGTGGACGTGCGCTGGAAAGGTGCACACCAGGTGGGAGCAGTGGTTCTGGTGGGGGGACTGGGGTTTGGGGTGGTGAATGAGGCGCTCTCCGTTGTACCCTCTGATACAGTATGTGAATTGCATGGTTTTTATTACATCTTTATTTTCTTTTTTTTTACTGAAGTATAGTTCACAGTGTTCTGTTGGTTTCTGGCACGCAGCAGCACGTTTCAGTCATACGTATACATATATATATTCCTTTACAGATTCTTTTTCATTGCAGGTTACTGCAAGATACTGAATATAGGTCCTTGTGCTACACGGTGGAAACTTGTCATTTATCTCTTTTATGTGTACTAGTTAGTATCTGCAAATCTCCAACTCCCAACTTAACCCCTTCCCACCCCCTTTCCCCTCTGGTAACCATGAGTTTATTTTCTGTGTCTGTGAGTCTCTGTTTTGTAAATAAGTTCATTTGTGTCTTTTTTTAGATGTCATATATAAGGGATATATGGTATTTTTCTTTCTCTTTCTGGCTTACTTCACTTAGAATGATGATCTCTAGGTCCATCCATGTTGCTGCAAATGGCATTATTTCATTCCTTTTTATGGCTGAGTAGTATTCCATTATATAAATATACTATGCCTTCTTTATCCAGTCATCTGTTGATGGACATTTAGGTTGTTTATTGACCATTGTAAGTAGTGCTGCTATGAACACTGAGGTTAGTGTATCTTTTTTGAATTAAGAGTTCCCTCCAGATATATGCCCAGGAGTGGGATTGCTGGCTCACAGGGTAAGTCTGTTTTTAGTTTTTTGAGGAATCTCCGTACT